GAGACGTGGAGAGACGTCATCGAACGGCTTCTGAACTATATGGAGCAGTGGTCCGTGAAGACGTCCACATCCCGGCCCAGAACGTACTGGCGGAAACGAGTTAGAGCGAATACCACACCCAACATTTCACGCTCCATCTGCGAATAGCATGTCTCCACATCAGTCAATGATCGGCTGGCACAAGTTACTGGCACCCACTGGCCCTTGTCGTCGTGCTGCCAGAGGATAGCGCCCAAACCTTGAGGCGAAGCATCGCAGCTGACAGCCGTGCGAACATCTGGAGATGGGCGGAAGTACGCCAATGTCTGCAGAGATGAAGCGACTGCCTGCTCTACTGCGTGGAATGCCGCAATCAGGCTCTCAGTAGCTACAAATGGCTCTGGCTGCTTGACGATCGAACGAAGTGGCTCAGTTACTTGAGACAGCTGAGGAACAAACTTGCCCAGATAGGTGACCATCCCGAGAAAATGCTGAACGTCGGCGAGGCACGTGGGCTCCGACAGTTCACTGATAGCTTGAAGCTTGCATGTGTCGGGTTGAACACCTTGCTTCGTCAGGACATGGCCGAGATACTTGACACATGTCAGTCGAGTGCGACACTTGCCCCAGTTGAGGCAGAGATTAGCAGCTTTGAGTCGTTCCAAAACGCTAGCGAGCCGTGCGTCGTGTTCCGCCCGGTTGCGACCATACACCAAGACGTCATCTATATAGACAACAACACCAGGCAAACCCGAAAGGAGATCAGTTACAACACGCTGAAATATCTCGGGAGCACAGGATATGCCAAATGGCAGTCGTTTGAAACGATAGAGACCACAGTGTGTGGTAAACGTGGTAAGCGGTCGGGATTGGTCGTCAAGCAAGAGCTGGTGAAAACCAGACTCTGCGTCCAAAACCGAGAAAACCTCCGCTCCCGCAAGCTCCGCAGTAATTTCATCAATGGTTGGCAATGAACGTCGCTCTCTAACAATGGACTTGTTCAACTGCCGATAGTCAACACATAAACGCAAGGTGCCGTTTGACTTACGGACTGGGACGATCGGCGATACCCATCCAGACGCTTCCTTAACTTGCTCGATGATAACTGCCTTGACAAGACGATGCAGTTCATGTTCAATGTCGGCCTTGGCGCTGAATGGGGGACGTCGTGCTGGTTGAGCCACCGGCCTAGCTTCTGCATCCACGGAGATGGAAATTGGTGCGGTGTCAACTAAATTGCCAGTATCCACCAGGTGCGCTGGAACCAACAGCTCAAGTTCAGAGATCACATCCTGTTCACTGCGCCAATGTAGATGGGCAACACTACAACAATGCAAGTCTGGAGGTAGCCATTGCAGGCTTCGTCTTCAAGCTCTGCGAGTTCTCTACTGCAAGCATGCACGCATGCGCACACTATTATGTACATGATTACATCACTTAACCCAGCACTGTGTGGCACACTGTTTTCCCAGTACTGAACGTATCGTGTAGATGCAGTTGGATCCTCTGGACCATGTGGATGGGTGGCTGGATTCTCTGCGCTCAGAGACCAGGGAAGATGCATTGAACTCCCGACACAACAAGAGCACAGTAATTTCAGTTACAATTCATACATTTACATTTTAATGGATACCTGACCGGTTTCTGCAATTAGAATGCTTCATCAGAGGATGAAGAATGAGGTAGAAAACACTAGCTTATATACACGGTAGGCATGAATTGGCATACTAGTAGTGTAAAGTGGAGAAGGTTGCTAGTCATGTTGCGCTATGCACCAGTAGCTGAGCGTGTAGCAATGCAGTAAAATAATTGTCTTGGCGCAAATGTGGCTAATACACATGGGTAGCGTGAACCTTAGGAAATAGCTAGGTGAAAAGTTTTAAAGCTGTACAAAAGTAAATGAACCATAGGGTTGAACTAGGTGAAAGTTGTAGGTTTGTACAGATGTTTTTGGTTGGTTCCAGAAATTTCTGAAACCAACCAAAATGAATGTCGCTCTCTAACAATAGACTTGTTCAACTGCCGATAGTCAACACATAAACGCAAGGTGCCGTTTGACTTACGGACTGGGACGATCGGCGATACCCATCCAGACGCTTCCTTAACTTGCTCGATGATATCTGCCTTGACAAGACGATGCAGTTCATGTTCAATGTCGGCCTTGGCGCTGAATGGGGGACGTCGTGCTGGTTGAGCCACCGGCCTAGCTTCAGCATCCACGGAGATGGAAATTGGTGCGGTGTCAACTAAATTGCCAGTATCCACCAGGTGCGCTGGAACCAACAGCTCAAGTTCAGAGATCACATCCTGTTCACTGCGCCAATGTAGATGGGCAACACTACAACAATGCAAGTCTGGAGGTAGCCATTGCAGGCTTCGTCTTCAAGCTCTGCGAGTTCTCTACTGCAAGCATGCACGCATGCGCGCACTACACCCAGCACTGTGTGGCACACTGTTTTCCCAGTACTGAACGTATCGTGTAGATGCAGTTGGATCCTCTGGACCATGTGGATGGGTGGCTGGATTCTCTGCGCTCAGAGACCGGTGTGGCGCATCAGACTGGCTGCACCAGCCTTTGCTGGCTTGAAGCTCCTGGCTGCAGCATTCATGGTAGGTGGACGCTTGGCCTGTACACAGTGTACAGGATGTTGTGGTGGTGGCCTGACAGGTCTTGTCAGCTCAGACTGGGGTACGACAGTTACTGCAGGTTGGACGCAATCTCCTCTGTGATTGCTCAAACTAACGTTACTGTGTCTTCGGCTGTCAGACTCCACTTCCTGCACTGACTGCTCATCCACAGAGTTCATATATCAAAAACTGCAGTTGGAGATCGAGAGAGCACCGCTACGATTTGAGCGCACACTTGCAGTTGAGGAGCGATGTGAGCTGCGATGTGAGCTATGTTGGCTACTGTCGTCCGGAACACTTTCCTCATCGGAGAGCCTAGCTAGGTCCTCGGCCAACTCCAGCTCCACCAGTCTTTTGTCTTGTTCGAATTTCTTTGCCAGAAATTCCTTTTCAAGACGCAACGTCTTCGCAGCGGCCTGAATCTTCGCTTGTCGTCGTGAGGACGATGTTGCTCTGGACGTACTACTAGTACCTGACCTACTTGATTCTGCGCTTCCTACAGACCTGGCATCTGCCGTTTTCCTGCCTGCCAACGAAGGGAATTCGAAGCCTTCTGCCTCATCCCTTGCTGATGGAATGCCTTTCAATCTCCTGCTTTTTCGAACTCACTGTCCGCTCTCAGCTCGCTCTGTCTCTAAGTCCGCCATCCGGCTCGAAGGACCGTAATGTTCTTACTCGAATATGCCTCCGGATAGCACACGACTCGTTGTTTTAGAAGACTGTATTATAATGTTTAACTCTGACTCTGCTGGAAATCATCTTCCAGTACAAAGGAAAGTTCTGCTTCTCTCGAAGCAGAAACGGAGATTCAAAAACCTTCAAATCAAAAGATCGCGCGAAAGCAGTGTACGCGACTACGCGCATCAGACGTGAATACAACATGAGAAGTGAAAGCAGTGTACGCGACTACGCGCATCAGACGTGAATACAACGTGAGGAATGAAAGCAGTGTACGCGACTACGTGCATCAGACGTCAGCTGACGTGAATACAACATGAGGAACGAATGCGTAGTAGTATGATAATGCACAACAGTACAACAAGCAGTGCTGATATACACATAAAACGGAGTGGCTCTGCACCATTATCAGTAAGCTGGATATAGACTGTACAGGCACTATTGGGAAAGGTTTGATAATGAACAGTGCTGTCGAGAGATAATATTCATACATGCATGAACTATGAAGAGAGTGAAAAAGAGATTGAGGAAACATCAGAAACAAACACAAAACTGGTACAGCAATAGCATGATACGTGACAATTATTGTAGTGCCAAGGATTATTTTATACAAAGCAAAAAGGACCAAGAAACTACAAGCTACACTATAATGTCCACTAAAACCACCAGTTACTAAACAATTAGCTCATGCGATAACATTGCACGACACTGACCGGTACTGACGTTCTACAACTAACTGGCTAGCAATGTTATCGCATGAGCTGATTGTTTAGTAACTGATTGTGTTAGTGGACATTATAGTGTAACTTGAAGTTTCTTGGTCCTTTTTACTTGTTATAAATATGTACATGTGAATATGTACATGTGCACATAATTGCAGGTGCTGGCAACAGCAGTGTATGGAAGTAGAAAAAGAGTTCACTATCCGGGGGAAGCAAGTACTGGGCCAGTAATTTGTACCAGGAATGCCTTTACAGGAGGTTCAATCCTGCGTTGTCGTTTATTCTCGGGCCCATGTCCTGAATTTTTATCGCTTTGCGTATCCTCCTCCTGGCCCGAAGCGACTCGATTGCAAGAACGCGAACCTTCGTAAATACTGAGTCACCAAACGGCAGTACCACACTGCTATGGTGAAGCCGGAAGGGCTCCCGAAGGGATTATCCCGACATCTTATTCGGGGGGGGGGGGGGGTAATTATGTTCCTTGGCATTGTGTTGAGGTTCTACCTTAAGAAACTTTTTCAAGGGCTTAGGACGGTCGATATACACCCCAAAGGGAACCTACCTCCGGGATTGTGAGCAAAATGAAAGGACAGATCGGCTTGCACACATACTTTGGTATTCTCAGACATGGTCTCTTATGACGCATGACATTTCCTGATTACTAGTAGTAGTACTCTGTTCAGAACCTGAACAAACTTTTAGGTCCCCATCTTCTGTATACTGTTTCTTAGTAAATCCTTTCTCTTCCTGGTCTGCACCCAGTACACAAAGCTTGACGAGTTCCTGTATAGCAGCTGCTTGTGCACCTGTATTGGTCATAGGCACTCAGGCCTTTTATCTACATTGTAGCTCTCTCACTTGCTCACTCTCATTCTCCCTTTCTCTCTCTTTCTTGCCGTGATCAATCATGTTGTCGTTTGTCTCTGTGTCCCTCCCCTTAATGTTTCCCCAAATACAAATTATCTTCAATATTCTCACCTCTCCCTACTCCAGCATCAAGAAACTCCATTGCACGTAACCTGTAGCTTTGGCACGCCGGAGGTTATAGAATTTCTGCTTCAAAAGGGTTCAGATCTTTTTGCCTTGAGAGAGGTAAGTCGCACTTTTAGTTAAATTGGCAGCGTCGAGATAATAATCGTAATATGCCGATGAATAGAATCAAGTGCGCATTCATATCACAAACATTGCAACCAAAGAAGTTTTAACTCCAGAACTTTTTCTTGTCACAATCATGAGTGAAGTGTCGTGGCTAAAGGAAAATGGGAAACAACCTAAGGTTTTATGTATTTAGAAAAGAGAAAATGAATGTGTCAATACGCCAATAAGAAGTATTGGATAAGAACGATAATGCTTGCGATGTGTGAGATAGATACATGGTGAGTATTGTGCAAAGTTAGGAAGGCAGTTGTATGTGAGACAATGTGTTGATAACAGTGATTCGATTTTAACCTTGGGTGATGAACAAATAATATTCATGTAAAAGAGGAAGGACCAACACATTACGAGTTTTGACAAAGACCCCAACAACGCAACGAGATAATACATAGTCAGATAGTGCGACAACAAGGCACAAATCTGCCAGGGGTACTGGGACATTGAACGACTTGACACCTAGCTCCAATGAATCTACGAAGTTAAAAACACCAACCTTCTCAAATAACTTGGAAGGCTCACGTGCAGAAAGGTCCAATGAGGGGAAAAAAACGCAACAAAGATGTGCACGAGGTATGTCCCTCGGGAACAAAGATAACAGGATAATAAGAAGATTGGTAAGACCATTGTACAAACTGGTCTAATTACAACTCAACAACGCGAATCAACCAATGATGAATTACATAATTTTCTCTGACCAGTACCATACTTGAAGTATGCATTTTAAAAAAATTGTACAATTTTCTGATCACAAGACATAGTTTGGCTCCACTATTATAATGTGCTAATGGGAGTTGTGATAATTCTCAGAATGAGCATTAGTCATTAGTTTCTTGAATCTGCAAAGTATTCAAAATCAACTGCTGTTCTGGTTCACAGAGCTATCTACAATGTTTATCAAGAGGTCTGTTTTACTTTCTTGTTGATTTACCATTGTTCATTCTACCAGGACAACAGTACATGCCTGGACTCTGCAGTAGCAAGTGGTGACAGCGATTACGCTGAGCCTGCGGCTAGACTACGGGCAATTATCCGCCATCTTGAGAGCAAGTATCCAGAGAAGCAGGAGAAGGTAAGCGCAACTTAGAAGAAAAGAAAATACATCAAAGTGAATTTCCCATTCGAAAAATTGGGTAACCAATGAGGTAACAATATCACTCTATTCCCTCCAGACACTCACACATTGTCTCCCTGCTGCAAACACCGCTTTTGATTCGCCAAAACATTCAGGGTTGGCTCAGTATCAGGTTACTGGTTCAAACTAATGATGGGTTATGCCCAAACATTTAGTGACCCAAAAGTGACATTCGCAGCGGAAACGTCCCTGTGTGGGTGTTTGGTATGAGTGGAATAATTTATGAATGGCTGTAATGCAGTTTACTAAGACTGCGGAAAGGATGCAATAGTTGCAAATATTAATATCAATGAGTACACTCAAATGTCTCTTATCCGGACGCCTCAGATACTGGCACGCCTCTCTACCGGGCACCTTTAGCTTGAGTTCCTATGGCAAAACTGCTTCCAATTTGGGGTTTGAATTATTTTTCGTGTACACTAGTGTCAGTTTATCACTGCCCACCTGTGTAATTCACTCATTTTCATCAAGACAATTTTATCCTGAATACGTGTAATATGTGCCAAAAAAACGTCTTCAGTGTTATAATACATGGTAGACGAGCTGTCCTGAGATAACGGCAAACATGAGATACGGGCAGTGACGTTCGAGCTGATACTGAATCGCTCACTCCAGCAATAATAGTTATTTTATTAAAAGAGAGCATATCTGAGAAAACCAGAAAATTTGAGCAAGTTGATCTATCCAATTTCGCTCAAATTTTCCAGGTAAGTTTCCTTTGGGGTGTAGATCGACTGTTCAAATCCTGTGGTCCATGACGCCAGAATGCAAGGTCTGGTAGATCACGGTTCATCAGTTATTCTGAGTCACCTTGATCAAGTGTACGTGCACTTACAAGGATCGCCTGTTTATATTTAGATTGGATCACGTGCATTTTGATGCCCGGCTTAAGAGCACGCTGGTCGCGTTGTAGGCCTTCCAACCGGGACTTTCCCTCAACATGCAGCACAGAGACTAGGGTGAGTAGGGTTCAAATCGCGTTTTTCATGACGTAAGAAATCTATGATGTGGGCACGGCACATACCATGTGGAACCAGTGTAGCCTGTGCTGGTCAACTCCAAGCGACCTTCATGGCATGCTCGACGGTGCATTCCTTGCTGTTGCAGATCTACATCAAGCACCAGCATGTAAACTAGCCAAGGTTCCTGTTGTACCATGTTCGAGGTGTGTGACGTTAGCATGCTAACGCGAGTTAGCAGCCAGCCCAGCGAGCTGGCCCAACCTGCACGCATGCGCCAGTCACGTGGGCACGCGCCTTCAAAATCCTGTACAATGTCTCTTTCATGTCATTGCTGTTTGGACTTTTGAGCGTGCAACTTGCGGAACAGGTGTTCCCAAAACAATTTCCTTTCGTTAGACTTTCAAGCTTGCATTGTCGTATCTCTACGTTTCAAATTCAGACTTCAATGACGCCTGTTGGTGCCTGAAACAATGTTGTCGTCTACAGTGGAACGTCGACTGTGGACTTTTGGCTTGCGCCATCATCAGGTTTCCTGAAATGAAGTACCTCCACGCAATCTCAGCGACCCTTGTTTGTGCCTTGAAACAATGTCGTCGTCACCAACCGGCGTCCAGCCTCTCCGGATCGCCTCGCTCTACCTGGCTCCGCCGCCCGCCTACTGCGAACGCAGCGACGGCCGCCACGCAGCACCACCACTGCAACAGCAGGCGCTAGCCTGACGATCGTAATTCGTATCCAGAGAAGCGAGTTTGTGGACTTTGATTTACTGTTGGAAGTAACAACGGTAGTTGTCCACTGCCGTCACCAACGCCACCCAGCTTCTCCTCGCTCTACTTGGATCCGTATCGCCGCTCGCCGCTAGCAGGCCGGACCCTACTGGGAGCCCGGTGCAGTGACGACCGCCATATGCGCATGCAGCACCAACAGCAGGTGAACCTGACTGTCCTAAATGGGCCCTTCTCGACCGTGTCCAGAGAGGCGAGTCGTGGACTTCGATTTCCTGCTGCCCGATACAGTTGCAGTCAGTCCAGCTCAGGCGACGTTCCAACTCCGCAGCCCCTCATATGTTGCTCTTCTGGCGCACTAGCATTAATTTTATTTGAATCCGAACCCAGAACTGTGCTTCGTAGGCTGCATGACGGTAGCACTTGAGTTGAGACCAGGACAGTGTTCATGAATGGTCTGTGTTCCACTTTTCCTCACCGCGTTTCACGAGTGCCTGTGGACGTAGTTGGCCACGATCGTCGCGGCCAATCGCCAGTTCTTGCCACCTAGAAACTGGACGTTATCAATACTCAATCTGCGGACAACTGTTTCGTCCTTTGTTGACTCATCAGCGCCGCACAGAGGGAATTAAGCCGAACCTGATAGCAATGGAAAATAAAAATAAAAATAAAACCTCCAAAGCCAGGTTATCAATATCAACTTGTGGCAACTGCGCCTCGCGGTGTACTGGAACAGCATGACCCGCCTGCCAGCAGTGCAGCTCAGTGCACCCGCCAGCGTTTCCGTGCGCCTTTCGTCCTACTCAGCAGTACAGATCCGCATCACGTACCGCAATCGTATGCCGCTACACGAGTACGGCGCTTGCACGTGTCAGCTCAGGCAGTGCTACCTCCAGTGCCGACAGGAGCACCCCAGGGCAAAGTGTAAGGCCTTATCAGTAACTGTGTAAGCACTCAGTTTCTCACTTCTCAAAATTACTGGACTCATATCCTGATCCTATGCTCCGGAGGTATGTTGCACATGGTCGTAATTGTGGGGTTGTGGTAGGTTTCATCGGCAACCACTCAACTAACTGGGATCCATTGAATTTAACACGGTCACATGCTAACCCAGATTATATTTCTGCGCAACGATCCGTTTCTTGCAGCAGGCTTGAAACAGCTGGCCCGTGTTCTTCACCCCCTTTCTCGTCTCTGTGCTGTTCCGGCCTAGATGCGGTTCCTAGAGGAACGGGAAGTTACACACGACACACCCTTTGTAAAGCCTGGAGGGTCGAAGTGTCAACGATTACATTTCAGCAGACCGTATCTCTCCACAATGTCAAGATGACAATGCTGCAAACATGATTCGACAATTGCTCGCCCCGCTGTATCTTGCTAAGCTCAGTGTTAAAAGTGCATTCTGCCGAATTCCCGTCTGCCCGGAGAAGTGGCCCTTGGTGAACCGCTGGCAGGATCAATACTGTTATGAGAGCCTCCTGCCCTTCAGACTGTACTACGCTCCAGGCCAGCTATATGGAACTCTGTCGCATCTGCCAGTGAATGGATTGTGTGCGGGCAGTTCGCACTCCCACGCCTGTTGCATTGCGGGGAATACCTCAATTAACGTTACTTCCTCAATGCATGCTCTGGACTTGTGTTACCTCGCCAGCAACTCGCTATTCTGCTCCGAGCATTTACATACCTCGGTGTTTCTCTGGCCCCAGCAAAAGTGGAGGGTCCAGCTCAAGTCCTGACGTTATTGGCATCTTCCCATTACGGGAAATACCTCGACTAACGTTTCTGTCTCCATGCATGCTCTGGACTTGTGTTAGCTCGCCAGCAACTCGCTACTCGGCGCCGTGCGTTTAAATACCTCGGTGTTTCTCTGGCGTCAGCAAAAGTGCTTCCTTGATGTATGCTCTGGACCTGTGTTAGCTTGCCAGCAACTCGCTACTCGGCGCCGTGCGTTTAAATACCTCGGTGTTTCTCTGGCGTCAGCAAAAGTGCTTCCTTGATGTATGCTCTGGACCTGTGTTAGCTCGCCAGCAACTCGCTACTCGGCGCGGTGCGTTTACATACCTCGGTGTTTCTCTGGCGTCAGCAAAAGTGGAGGGTCCAGCCCACGTCCTGACGTTTATCGGCGTCATCCGGTACACCCGCGCGCTCACATCAGTCTGCCGATGGACGAACTTGCCAAGCTTCACGACCTGCTACGGGCCACTCTCAAGACAGCTTCAACTACCCAATGTCAACTCGACTATCTTTTCTGGGAAAGCTCTCGTTTGCTACAAGAGTGATAGTCCCAGGACGCACGTTGCAGATTGTGGTCACTTGCCAACTGGTACCGGCAGCCGTGTTACCTGATCAAGCTCTCCGAAGAGTGCCACAAATACCTTCGCTGATGGCCTGAGCTCCTGGAATAGTAGAACGGCCGGTCCTTCTTCCTACACCCTAAGTGGACGCCGTCCCCCGACTAGCTGCTATTCACTATGCAAGTGGTGCACCTGGCTGGTGCGCAAACAATTGCGACCGGGGATAGGGCAATGGACAGTCAATCAAGCAGACCAGCCAATCGCAAAGAGTGGTTTGCAATTGTGGCAGCAACTGGGAAAGCTAGCGGCACCAGCTGTAGATGCCAATCGATCGGCTTTACAGCAACTGCAAAAATCTTGCTCATCAGCTGTGGCTATGGCCTGGCGTTATGCACCGGCCACTCGCTTCGAATCAGCTGCCAGACTCGATATTCAGAGAGGCGGGAAGGTGGAAAGCCATGTCTGCCCGAGTAACATTCAGAGGCCACCAGCAGCCAAAGCATGGGTGGCTGTGGCAATGGCCTCAGCCCATGATATCGAGTTCCTGTTAGTCAATCGTTACCGAGCTTGCACTGCTTACAAATTTCACAGGTAGCTGCACTTTGTGATCCGCTCTGGGAGTGCCGATTTATGGAATATATGCTCTCAACTGGTTATGCATCTCTATATGTCTAGCATTTGGCGGCTCTATTCAGAGTCATTGGCGGCTCCATGCGGAGGCATTGGCGGCTCCATGCGGAGTCATCCGGCGGCTCCATGCAGAGTAATTGGCAGCTTCATGTGGAGTAATTCGGCGGCTCCATGCGGAGTCATTTGCTGGCTCCATGCGGAGTCAATTGCCGGCTCCATGCGGAGTCATTCGCCGGCTCCATACGGAGTCATTTGCCGGCTCCATGCGGAGTCATTCGCCTGCTCCATGCGGAGTCATTTGCCGGCTCCATGTGGAATCATTTGCCGGCTCCATGCGGAGTCATTCGCCGGCTCCATGCAGAGTCATTTGCCGGCTCCATGCGGAGTCATTCTCCTGCTCCAAGCGGAGTCATTTGCTGGCTCAGCTGTGAGCCATTATACCAGTTGCTCGAATCGGCACTCCCAGCTTAATGCAAAACTCGGTTGCTCTGTTGTGAGGTGGGGGGATGCTAATGTGAAATATGCGTACTTGTTCTTACTGCAAGAGGACATATCTCAAAGAGGTCTTGCCAATGCAATACTGCTAGCGCTGTAACGATAGTGTCTACGTGTTCTGAGCAGAGCATGCAGGAAATATGATGCGTCTTATCTCCTCCATTATGGTCCGTTTCGAATAGCACATCAGGAACGATCATGATCATGTGTATTGTGTCGTGAACCGGAAATCATTATTCTACATCATGAAGCATGTGATTTCATCATTCCTTTTGCCGTGAAGTTCAAAAACAACATGCCAAACAGTCACTTTTTGCATCAAATGTCGCACCGAAAAATTTGGTGGGCCAAGGAGAAGCTTGTCGTTTGGAGTGACAATTTATCACCGCTACTTTTCCTTGTCAGAGTCAACAATACACTTCGTTTTGCAGCTGGTCTACAAAGCCGAAGTGACACGCAGTAATGTTAACCCAGCGCGTGTGTACTTCGGAGCGACAGAGCCAACGTTCAAGACCCGGTACGGAAACCACAAGGACACATTCAACCACGAGCAGAGACGGAAGAGCACCGAACTATCCAAGTATGCCTGGAAATTGACGGAGAGACAGGAAGACTACTCGATCCAGTGGAGTATTTCAGAACAAGCACAAGCCTACAGCAACATCAAGAAGAGGTGCCAGCTTTGCCTCTCGGAGAAGTTCCGATCATAATCGCGGATAGAGAAACATGCCTCAACAAGAGAAGCGAGCTCATCTCGAAGTGTAGACATTCCAACAAATTCTCGCTCGCAAACTACACTGGGGTCACGTGATGAGATATGCAGTGTTTTCACACACACACACGCACACACACACACACACACACACACACCTCAGACCTTAGACATGCCCATCGCGGGAGCGATGATAGCGAACAGCTATGTTTTTTAGACATAGCAACTTGTGCTGGGATTACACCATCCAACAGCTTGCAAGGCTGATGAATTGACCGCCACACACACACACACTCACGCACTCACACACGCATGCGCACGCACACGCACGCATGCACGCACACACAAACACACACACACACTCTATCTATCTCTCTCATGCACACACATGTGCACACTCACTCTTTCACACTCACACCAAACCACATATTGCGCCATTAGCCACACTGGTATCTGCAATGTAACACATACTACCCAGCTCGTTGGCGTGACACAACTACCACTGAAACCTACTTCATTCCTGCATCGGTTCTACATGTATCTCCCATCTTGCTTATAGCAATATACCTCAGCCATGACACTTGCATTCATATTACGCAGAGTGTATTCCAGCGCTGATGTTATCTCCTCAAGCTTCGTGGTTGCAGCACTGCCTTAGCCTACATTACAATTACCCTATATAACTAGCGAATAGCATTATTATGTTTTATCGTCTGATGAGTGTTTTTTGAAACACAAAACTCGAAGTAGTGGTTGCGACTTCGGCGATGATTTGTAAGAAAGGTTTGCTCCCCACACCGGAGCTCGCGCTATTCCGCCGACTTTACTTGACACTTGACTGACTCACGACTGCCATCCAGAGCACACGAGAAGTCCATCGAACCTTCGACTCAGCAAACCTGCAAGAAAGCACCACTCCCTGCTCAATACACAGTGTTTCGGGGAATTCACCCCTCATCAGTTGAGCTTGAGTAGGCTGAGGAAGATTGTGCCCGAAGAGCACCACTTATATAGTGCTCTCCAGGCACAAACATCACCAGGGATACAAACTTACAGAGACGCTCCGCTTCCAGCGCGACAAACACCTCGTGAACACCAGATAGTAGCGTGAGTCAGTGTCGCTCCTGGACGGTGAGACAGACGTCGAGGACCCTCGGTCATTCGCAACGCTGTCACCTCCAAACCAACTAGTCGCAAGCCCGCGCTGGGCACAACAGTATGAAGTAGTGGTTGCGACTTCGGCGATGATTTGTAAGAAAGGTTTGCTCCCCACACCGGAGCTCGCGCTATTCCGCCGACTTTACTTGACACTTGACTGACTCACGACTGCCACCCAGAGCACACGAGAAGTCCATCGAACCTTCGACTCGGCAAACCTGCAAGAAAGCACCACTCCCTGCTCAATACACAGTGTTTCGGGGAATTCACCCCTCATCAGTTGAGCTTGAGTAGGCTGAGGAAGATTGTGCCTGAAGAGCACCACTTATATAGTGCTCTCCAGGCACAAACATCACCAGGGATACAAACTTACAGAGACTCTCCGCTTCCAGCGCGACAAACACCTCGTGAACACCAGATAGTAGCGTGAGTCAGTGTCGCTCCTGGACGGTGAGACAGACGTCGAGGACCCTCGGTCATTCGCAACGCTGTCACCTCCAAACCAACTAGTCGCAAGCCCGCGCTGGGCACAACAGTATGAAGTAGTGGTTGCGACTTCGGCGATGATTTGTAAGAAAGGTTTGCTCCCCACACCGGAGCTCGCGCTATTCCGCCGACTTTACTTGACACTTGACTGACTCACGACTGCCATCCAGAGCACACGAGAAGTCCATCGAACCTTCGACTCGGCAAACCTGCAAGAAAGCACCACTCCCTGCTCAATACACAGTGTTTCGGGGAATTCACCCCTCATCAGTTGAGCTTGAGTAGGCTGAGGAAGATTGTGCCTGAAGAGCACCACTTATATAGTGCTCTCCAGGCACAAACATCACCAGGGATACAATGTCTCACCGTCCAGGAGCGACACTGACTCACGCTACTATCTGGTGTTCACGAGGTGTTTGTCGCGCTGGAAGCGGAGCGTCTCTGTAAGTTTGTATCCCTGGTGATGTTTGTGCCTGGAGAGCACTATATAAGTGGTGCTCTTCAGGCACAATCTTCCTCAGCCTACTCAAGCTCAACTGATGAGGGGTGAATTCCCCGAAACACTGTGTATTGAGCAGGGAGTGGTGCTTTCTTGCAGGTTTGCCGAGTCGAAGGTTCGATGGACTTCTCGTGTGCTCTGGATGGCAGTCGTGAGTCAGTCAAGTGTCAAGTAAAGTCGGCGGAATAGCGCGAGCTCCGGTGTGGGGAGCAAACCTTTCTTACAAAACTCGAAGTTGCGAGAAAGGTTTTTGGTCTCTATTGTTCTGCCTCGTGTGGCATAAGTTCTGCCCTTTTTCAGGTATTGAGCATTATTTGCAGCAAAGACCCCAGACACTTTGTTGTATGTACTATGTATACACGTATATTAAGTCAATGGGGCGTTCGTCTTCATCAACTGTTCGAACAATTATTTTAAAGAGATTAGTTGAAGCGTCCCATTTGAACGGTTTCTATCTTTTTAGAATTTTCAGTGGAATTGTCGATGACGTCCGATAAGATCGACCATCTCCACGCACTTCGTGATGTAGCTATTGGAAACTCTTCGGAAAAAAAGTCAAAGAATGACAATTCGAACAAGCCAGAAGTGAATAGCCACAAAGAAGAGTATTCCTTTTGCTCATGGTACCCTGTCCGTGACCGTCTTTCCTGGCACCTCACTTCACTCCAACCATGTTTCTCAACGGACTATTCTCTACCAACCACCTGTCCTCTTCCTTATTCCTACTTTTACATAATTATGTCATTGTGTTTCCTGTGTGTTCTATTGGCAATGTAGGTAATGGAAATTGTTCGACATGCCGCTGACAAGGAGACCGCTGTGCCTCGAAACCGTCGTTTTCTTCAGGTAAAATAGAGAAAAGACAAAATGTTCCGAGTTATGACTAACCGTGCATCGATGTAACCAGATATTATACCGTCAGCAAGTGTGACGAAAGGGCACAAAACTGATAAGGAGTACTTAGCTGAAAAACTGACAAGGAATGCTCAGCTTCCCCTTCCATGCTTACCATATCAACTTGAACCTCCCAATTTAGGTGGTCTGTTACTTTGCGTCATTGAGTTGTATATAAGACCGGTATGTCCAATTGTCTTACTATTCTCGTCTTCATCCTGTAAAGTTCGGCATTCTTTGTTGCTGTGGGACAGAGTCCATGCTCATCCTTATTGCGCTTTCCTTCCCCTCTTTGGATATTTCCTTACCTGAGCCTCCCAAGTTGGAAGGTTGTTGGTTTACACATCTTAGATGTGTTGGAGTGAGTTGTTAGGTCGTTGGATGTCTCAGTACTTTTTTTGTGCCCTGTTGTCCCACTTGCTGCCAGTGTATTATCTGATTGCACTGTGGGACAGTGAGTCATAACTTGTAACATTTTGCCCTTTATTTATTTTTTACATGATTACATTGGCTAAACATCCGAGCTCGTCAGGTAAAGTCATTATTATCTGTTATACTGAGTATTCCAAGTATCCCGTTGCTATGGAGAGTATCGTGACAATTGAGGTCATTCTCTGATGTTATGTACATAGTAATTGTTAAAAAGGATGAAGTTTCGTTTTCAATCCGTGCATACGGTAAAAACTCGTCTGTACTTTCAATACGTTTCACAAAGCTATCACCGACTCATTTTTTCGATGTCCACCATCCTAGTGTTGAAAGTAGCAAGAATCTTCATAGATTTATTTCCTGCCTGTGTTTGAATTCAGGCAAGTACATGTGGGCAGTGCACGCCGCTTGCCGAAAGAACCATATAGCATGTGGACAAGCTGATCTTCTCATTTACATTGTCCGACTTATAAAAAAATTCATCCCCACAAAATGTTCTCCTCACATACTTTACTGTCCAACAGATGAACACTGCCAACTATGGAGCATTATCATCTTCACAGCTGTTTAGGAAAATTTGCCTTCAACACTTATATCCAGTAATTGTTATAATTTACTAAGAAACGGTGGACATCACGCAACTGCATTAGAAAGGAAAGGGGGTTTATCAAGTGACAACCGCTCTATTCAGTTGCTATTCACAGTGAGTGGCCCGAAACGTCACAATATTTTGACGTCACTGATAAAGAATTTTCATCCAGCGCATGCGCCACGTGTAAACAGCAACTGCATTGAGTGATTGTAAGTTGACAAAACCCCTATTCTGTAATTGTTCTTGTGTGTGTTATATACGCAGACTTACCTTCAGCTGGAGGAATTTTATTCCGAAGGCCAAGTGCACGCTAACACGCTAGTTGTTCTAGTTAGCGGGGAACAACTTGTTGGGAAGTCCACACTAATCAAGACATTGAGAAAAGAAGAAAACAATGGCACATCAAACGACTCGAAACGAACCCGAGGCATCCAGATGTCCAACTTCACTGATGAGCGTGGTCAGCATTTGCGTATCAAAGATCTCGCTGGGCAGGATGCGTTTTCAGCGACACACGACATTTTCTGCCTATCCACATCAGTACCAAGCCTCGGTCTTGCTGTTGTCAATAGCAAATGGGACGCGAAACTGATGACAACAAGCATAACCACCACAGCTGGTCGGTTTTTGAGCCGGATGCCACCAACGGTAACATCAGGTCAGTGCGATACTTTATCAAATACGTTTATGATAATTTTTGTTTGTGTCTGTTGATCCGTATGTCGGCATGTACTGTAGCAGACATGTTAATTCAGTTGATTGACCAGGGCCGGCGCCCTCAGCGCCTACAGAACACTGCGTGCAGTGCACAGTCATGTTTATTCGATGTGACCAGCGCGCTGCAGCGCATAAATGCATGTGTGTACCGCTTGTCCACGGCTGCATGGCGAGTGCCCTGGGGCCGCAAGATGTGTGACCGGATTTCCATGTCCACGACATTACATGCATGAATGAATGATTAGGGCATGTGTTTGACTCTGTACACTGGTGCAGGGAGGGCACTGTGTGTGTGTGTGTGTGTGCATGCAGGTATGTATGTGTGTGTGTGTGTGTGTGTGTGTGTGTGTGTGTGTGTCCCATATGGTGCAGTGGTATGTGCAGCGATTTCCAATCGATAGGTTGCGGGCTCGATTCCCGACGATTATGGTCACACGTTATTCTTCTCTTTCTCAGACTCTTCCTGACTTTTCTTTCTTTCTCCTGGGTGGTTACCAACAGCCAGTGTATGCCGGAGTATGTGGTGTGGTGTGTGTGGAGAAAAAAAAGAAAAAGAAAAAAAATGGAAAAATGAAAAATAGGGATTCACTGGCCAGAAAAAGTCACTTCAAACAGCTGTGTGGTGGATACCAGGCTAAAATAGTGGCGGTCAATTCATCAGCCTTGCAAGCTGTTGAATGGTGTAATCCAAGCACAAGAAAGTTGCTATGTCTAACATAGCTGTTCGCTATCATCGCTCCCGCGATGGGCATGTCTGAGGTCTGAGGTGTGTGTGTGCGTGTGTGTGCGTGTGTGTGCGTGTGTGTGTGTGTGTGTGTGTGCGTGTGTATGTTCATGTGTGTTTTATTTATAGTGGTGTGTACGGGTAGTCGGATACCCATGCAACCTGTGAGGACCTCGGGTAGACGGGTACAGAATAGTACCTGAAAACCTGAAGTCGCTGATGGCATCATGTACAGTGCACATGTACAAATTCATGTACAAATTCCGTGGGTAGACACATTGGTGAAGGTCCAGAACATGTGCGTCAATTTGGGCCCGGGAGCATATGTGGTCCCGCCGACATTTTGGATGCGTGAAATCAGACTGTTTTTCACATGAACAAACAGTTTTATTCACAAGTGCTGTACACTGTACTTGTTGTGAACCATCTGGTTCTCTCAAGTATCAGAAACGAACGACCACATGGCACGAGGACAACTATTTAATCTTGACAGTATATTTCACTTCGATCAACTAATGATAATGAATAACTAACACTAAAACCACCCAGTAGTTATAGCGTGAACATGACAGCGTATACGAGAAAAGCATACACATACAACTTACAACTACAGCGCGCACAGCAAACCGCACATAGCGCCTGTAGCGTATACCACGTCGTAAACACCAGCAGTACGGCGGAGTCGGGATACAAATGCATTGAAACGAACACAATGTCAAAAGCGAGAAGGCCTTTCACTCTTGAGAACTTGTGGTTTCGCAACAGTACTAACGAATTGTTACTGCACATCAAGCTGAACATGCACTGCCCCCATGTACTGGGTCTTTCCTTTTGCCCATGCGTGTTTACACGGAGGCGGTCTAGAAAATGAGATAAGAGTGTTGACACATGGCACATGGGCGCGTACACGGATAGTGGACATTATACAAATCTTCAAGTTATTCCGAACTTTCCAGAGTTGGACTTTTCACGCTGTGTGTGTGCAGTGGTTAACAGTTTTACCACACAGAGCACTATGGTCTGTGCATACAGTTATGTACCACTTCCAGTCTACTGGATACCCGCACTATCATGCTACATGAATCACGTGGCACAAGTCCACAGACTTGCCACGTGCAAATACATGCAGTCAGGGAAAGTGAGCTTTGTGTTTGAGAAAGAAATTAATTATTTCATTTTTGGGCATGGAATAGTCCCGCCTCATCTTTGCTGCAACAATGAGTCCACAACTGACAAGTGAGAAAACAGCAAACAGCTTCTGGATCGAAACGTTCAGATCCTTTATTGTTGAGGCCCTTGAATGGAAGAGCCGTGCCCTTGGTTCAAATGTTCTGCTCTTTTATCCAATTGAGCAACGTCCGAAATGTCCATACAAAAATTGTGTATGCCCGATGGATCCCAAGATTTTCGGAAGCATTCAGAGAACTCGCATCTGTCTTCTCCATCTCCAGACTTTGCTCTCCAGAGATCTGATAATAGAATCAGCCTGGTCGGCATTAGCTGCTTCTTCTTTGTTTGTCGTAGAAACAGCAGCGCACACTTCTGACTGGCCTGTGCAGCCACTTCTCCAGTAGATTACCAAGGCTCTCAGCCCGAGACCGAACACATGGAGGTCAGGCATGGTTCCATCCTCACTCACGAGATATATCTTCGAAGCCGCTCATAACACCCTCGTACGTACTATCGTTCGCCAATTCATTTGAAGTAGCATTAGTACAATTGCTTTAAAACACTCTTCTGACCAATTTTTTAGCTGCATGCCATGATATTGCAGAGAGTGTGTGGCTTAAAATCACCTTTCCTCAAATCTCCTCACCACAAATGCATATATTGTTTTATTTGCGTTTCCCATCTCTTGTTGTTGCAAATACAGACCAGCCGTTCAATGTCATGATAATTGCGACCTTCCGCGACGAGATCAAGAAAGAGGATCATGGAGAACTTGCTGCAAAGCTTGCCACAAGCTATAGTAGTGTCAAGAAGGAGTTTGGTGATAAACTCCACTTTCGAGGACGCTTTGCTATCAATGCCACCGTCAATGACGCAGACTTCGATCGCCTGAGAGTAAAACTTTCTGAGGTCTGCAGAGATATCCTGAGCGTAAGTAAAACTGTAAACCAGATTTTAATACTAGTGGAGAAACTGGGGGATAGTAAAAAGATCAGGAGAGATAAAGTGACGGAGAGGAATATGCACAGAACGATGGAGAGAAAGAGTTAGGGAGACAGAGAGTGAGATTGTGAGTTAAAGAGAGACAGAGATAGAACTGCAATGCACACCAGTGCATTAGACAGAGTTTATAATCATTTGCGGTGATCCGCACTTGCACCTCTCCCGTGAATTGTGGATTTGGTTATGAAAGAACTATTCAAACTGGAAAGCAACCCTAAACAATGTTCCAAGAATGACCTTCACAAAATAATGGGTGGCATAGAAAGTGGCAAGCTGCAGGGATGGAGCCTGGATGATGGCCTGCCGAAGGGAAAATATGGATCAGCCAAACGGACTTTTGGTCCAAGACCACGTGACTGTGAGTCTGATCTACTCAGCCACCAGGACAAGGTCCTGGGGTCTGGTGATTTTTTTCTCCATTTAGACAGTTCACTTCCCCGACTCATCCTTTGAAATATCCATGAGCACTCTGCTGAAGGCTAGAGATAGGCACCCACTGCGCTAGCATCGAGCAGCCAAAGGTGGGGCCATGCATCATATGGATATTAAATATGATGGTAGGTAAACAACAAAGAGAAACACAAAACACTTCTTTAAATATCGATCATAGGAAACACAAGAGGGTTTTGAGGAAAATAGGACCGAAAGAACTCCACCACCCACCCCAGAGCATTACAAAGCAAGAACTTTACGCAGGATAGCTGCCGAGCCAAGGAGAGCATTCTTTTGCAATTCAAACACAGAGCAGTACCTGGTGATACCAATGGTGTTAAGGTATCCTGGCAACTGTTTGGGAACGTGCCCAAACTCCCAACTACTACAGGAACAATCTGAGTCTCCATTTGCCAAAGCCGATGGATTTCGCGAGCAAGAAGTTGATACTTGGCACGTTTCTCAACTTCCATTTCAGCAACGCGTGAATCACCAGGTACAGCAATGTCAATGACCAGGGCCTTTTTGGCAGATCCATCAACCAGAACAATATCAGGCCGTCGGTGCTTAGTTAAGCGATCGCACCGAATGGTGAAATTCCAAAGAATCTTGATCTTCTTGTCCTGCGGAGAGATTTTGGCGTCTGAAGTATCTGTAGCTTCAGGCACGTTATCCTCGGGTGCAGGATGCTCTTGTACCATTGCACTAGTCTTGGTATGCTCAAGCACCGGATCACAGTGGTGCTTGTAGTTCTTGTCTTCACATGGTATCCCATGTACACGACAGAGTGACCTGTGGACCAGAGAGGCCAGCTGATTATGACGCTCCAAGTTGTCCCGTCCAGGGAGGTTTGAACACACGCATAGGATATGGGCAATCGACTAGCCTGCCTTCCCACAAACTCGACACAGTGGGCTTCCGCCCTGATGGAAGATTTGGGCCTTGAGCAGGTTAGTTGCCAAGGCCTGGTCTTGTGCCGCAATGATCAGGCTCTCTGTGGTCTTCTTGAGACCAGCCTTTGTCAGCGAGTTCCAGGTGCTCTCCTTGGTTGTTCTGTTCGCTGGACAAACTGTCCATGCAAGGGTTTCTGGGTTCATGCCAAGAGGTATTCTTTTTGAATTGACACTTCACCACCTGTGAGGAGTCCCGTGGGGCATCCAGATGTGGCCACAGAATGGGCGCAGCCACCTTCAGGAGCTCCTCATCTGACTGAAGCACATAACGCTGGAGATTGTTTTTCTCCATGGTGACAACGTCATGAATACTTTGCAAACCACGTCCACCCTCCTTGCGACTGACGTACATACTGGCTACATCAACACGTGGATGGAGAGCTCCATGCATAGTCATAAGCTTGCACGTTCTTCGGTCAGCAGATTTCAACTCGTCTTGCATCCATGCCAAGATACCAGCACTATACCATATCAAAGCCACAGCCCAGGTGTTGATGGCTGTAGTGATATTGTGGCCGTTTCGAGCTAAGGGGAGTACTCGCTGCACACGCCACTTGTACTCCTGCAGGATTTTCGTCTACATACTTGAATGGTCCACACCTCCAGCTTCAAGGAATCCAAGATATTTGTACGTTTCTCCTGGCTGTAGCGACCTGATAGATGAGTGGTCAGGCGATAGGATCTCCTCAGATGCTGCATGCTTTCCTGCCTATAGTACAGTGGTCATGCATTTTGCCTTGAATTATTATTATTATTATCAATATTATTAAACGCATGTCCACGAAGGTGGCGGGGGGGGGGGCACTTTCACTTACCCCATTCAGGATTGATGTCTGAAGAGTAATGCAATTATGAAATGACTGAAGCGACGTACAAAAAGCCGTAAGCAATAATACCAATCAGACTGATGGAAAACTTAATCGAAAGTATAGAATAGAATATTCATAATGTCTGGCGGAATAACATGAATCACGATAACCAGTCCTGTTAGGTGGGGCGGGCCCCAAGCCATGCCTGTCGGTCCGCTACCATTGAGCGGACTGCGTCCGCATCTAGCGGCTGGTGGAGGGTAAGTCCATACCATGATGACAATTCCGTCTGCATGACCATTACCAAAATTGTCTGAGGTCGACGTCTGAAACGTTCAGTGCCATGGTCGTTGGCCAAGCGAAGATATATATCCACTGCCAGCTGAGGAGGAGAAGTTGGCACCAAACGAACGAAATGGCCAGCGAGACTGTAGCGCTGCCTTGTGATCATCTCGCTGATGGGCGCAGCTCTACAGCGCTTGCACAGTGTGTCATTCTTGGTTTTATTTTAGATATCGCAAATCGATGATGCTCCTTAGCTGGGTCCTGTGGAACAAATACATTCGTGCGACCTCCGATATCAGTAGGCCCCAAGTGCAGCAGTTGTAGGTCAGAACAGGGATGACGTAGGCGTTGTAGAGCCTCAACTGAAGACCTTCCTTGATCTGGCGTCTCCGGTTCCAGACCTTGAGGAACGAGTTGAAGGTGGCGGCCAGTTGACGCCTCCGAGCAGCATCTTCGGCATCACCCAGAAGGGAGCCTAGTTTGCGGACAGTACGCCATGTTTCTTGGTTCCTATCGGGAAATCAGGCGACGGTGGTATGTTCTGTTTTTGAAGGATTAACGTTCAGGCTCCATCTCAAGCAAGAGCAATCATTAAAGCCAGATGGTCTTTAGAATAAGGTCCCGTACATTTGCGGCATCCCGGATCGTGTACATACTTCTATGCACACAAATTGACAGGTTTTTGTACATAGAACACTTTCATTCAGAAGGCAAAGCACCTTTCACACCTCGTTCGAGTGCATGCAGCGCAGCCGCCATGGTCATGCCAATGACTGCATGTACCTGCTTCTGATCACACTTCATTGTCTTCTAGCCTGTTGCCGTCAAGCTTGACAGTCAGGACAGCCACTTGTGGTCTCTGTATATGCAGGTCATATATGGTGTAATGGGTAGCCGAGTGGTAGGCGCGGTGAAATCAACAAGAATTACTTTTATTCTACTTTCAGGTACACACCTGAGATATAATGATTAGTGAAAGAAGAAGCGGCAAAATAAATAAGATTCAAGATCTCTCCGGTGCTCACCTAGAGGTTGACTACTTCTTCGAGTTATCTTTCGTTGCTATCTAATCTAATCTTCTCTTCATCAAAACAGAAATACTCAGCCGCTTTTATGCAGCAGACGCCGTACGCTTACATACGGAGATAAACTAAATATACATCAGGCAAAGCTCCGTATTAGTTCCGTACTGCTTCCGTATTGGTCGGGCAGGGATACTACACCCTCCCTTCCTACAGATAATCACGCCCTCGTGATTTTCAAAAAATTACTGAAGAGTTACGAAAACAGCGTCAACCGGAAGATGGCAAATTATATCGGAAATGATAACGTTTAGAGTAGACAGAATAAATGAACTGATAACAAATCATAAAGTAGAAGCACACCAGGTTCACACGATCTCACGGGGTCAAAAGGGGAAAGAACTGTCCTCCAAATAGGACCTGAAAACCCACAGCACTCTTGCTGCACAAC